GGTTTCACCGTGTTAGCCAGGATGGTCTCGATCTCCTGACCTCGTGATCCGCCCGTCTCGGCCTCCCAAAGTGCTGCGATTACAGGCTTGAGCCACCGCGCCCGGCCATATATTTCTTTTTTTATGGAGTCTTGCAATGTCACCCAGCCTGGAGTGCAGTGGCGCCATCTCGGCTCACTGCAACCTCTGCCTCCTGGGTTCAAATGATTCTCCTGCCTCAGCCTCCCAAGTAGCTGGGATTACAGGCGTGCACAACCAAGCTCAGCTAATTTTTGTATTTTTAGTAGCGATGGGGTTTGGCCATGTTTGCCAGGCTGGTCTCAAACTGCTGACCTCAAGTGATCCACCCGCCTCAACCTCCCGAAGTGCGAGGATGACAGGTGTGAGCCAGTGCGCCCATCCAGGTCTCAGGATTTTAGAGAATTTAGCCAGCAGAGACCCGGTCCGTTCCATCCTGCTGTGGATAGGAAGTAGAACTCTGCCCTACCCTCCCTCTGCAGACTTGGCAGTGGATCAACCCAGTGGACTTCCAGGAAGAGGCATCCCTGCAGGAGGCCCTGGTGGTGGAGATGTCCTGGGACAAAGGCGAGAGGACTGAGCTTCTTGAGAAGGCAGAGCTACCTGAGGGTGCCCCTGAGCTGGCCCTGGATACACAGCTGTCCTTGGAGGATGGAGACAGGTGCAAGGCCAAGGTCCTGAGGCCCAGTGGGCCAGACGGTCAGGGGTGCAGCCCTGCCCGGGGGGTGAGGGGCTAGATGTCCATCGCTCCTGGGAGATCAGGGCCTGGAGGCTTGAAGGAGAAACGGGAACATCCACTTTGTCTTACAGACAGGAAGAGCGACTATCTCAATCACAATGGCTGGTTATTAAGCACTTATGGCATACCCAGCCCATTCCATCCACTCACATGATTCCCTACCAAATTCCCACAACCACCCCCTGAAAGGAACCATAACTGTTGTATTTTACAGATGTGATCACTGAGGCTCAGAGAGGGTGAGTGACTCGCCTGAGGCTACGCAGCACACACAGGAGTCAAATTTGGACCCAAATAACCCAGAGCTCCTCCAGGCTCTAGTGCACCTGCCTCCTGTCTGCCCGGCACCTGTTGCCACACATCCTGTGGGGGAACCCTAGATGCTGCCATGAAATGGAAGCTGCTGCACCCTGCTGGGCCTGGCATCCGTGGAGCAGGAGCAGACCCTGCCATTGACCTGTTCTGGAGTAGAATAGACTGGGAATGGGGGCAAAGGGGGCTCAGATGGATCCCCGGACCCTGGGCTGGGCATCCACCCCCAGGAGCACTGGATGGGGAGTCTGGACTCAAGGGCTCCCTGCAGCATTGTGGGGTCTTGTAGCTCGGAGGATCCAGGCATATGGGGGAAGGGGACTGTAAACATTGTGGAAAAAATGATGGTCCTCCCATCCCATCCCCATCCCCCTAGAAAATGGGGGTGATGACAATGACCTTACACAGCTGTTCAAAATCATCGTAAATGAGCCTCCTGTTGGGTATTTTTTCCCGTTTGAAGCTTGAATGTCCTCAAAATCTCAAAACACGAGCCTTTGAGTTCATTCATTCATTCATTCATTCATTCCACATATATTTATTAATCTCTTCCTCTGGGTCTCCTCCAGGAGCACCTAATCTGGGGGAGACAGAGCCGGATGAGAGCTGGGAACCCTGCTAAGCTGGGACTGAGCAGGGGAAGGGACGGCCTAGGGGGAGTGGAGCAGCCGGGCGCTCCCGTAACAGGAACCGTGGTTTGCCCCTACGTTCCTTCCTCTTCACGCCCAGCAACTCACAGCAGGACCCTTGCCCCCCTTACACACCCTGAATCCTCCCTCTTTCTGCCCACGCTCTGCAGCCGCCTCCCCCTGATCTCCACTGCGGTCTGAGCCGAGGTGTTGCGGGGCTCCTGAAATCCCACCCCAGTCCCGGCGATTAGCAGGTAGTCTCAGATTCCCCCCATGGCCACCAGGTGGCAACAGCGGCGCGCGTTTCCCCGGCCGGACCCGCCCTGCCTCCTCCTACGGTGTTTGCTAAACAGACTTTTCCGGTTTCAGAGGAGGGGGATTAAAGCCCAGAACTACTGAATTTTGTGGCAAAAAAAGGATGAGACCTCTCGGGGAGAGACCTCTTGCAGCCAGTAGGGCCAGGAGGCAAGAGTCCCAGGCCCCGACCCTTTGGTGGGGGGACTTCCATTTCCCCATGGATGCATCCAGATGGGGAAACAGAGGCCTGGGCTCCCGTGCCCTAGCCACAAAGTGGTTGCTCAGAGCTTTGCAGATGCCCTCCGCCCCGCTCCGGATCTGCCACATCCCAGCTTCTGCTCAAGCCGTTCCCTCCACCAGGCTTGCTCTCCCTTGAGCGTTTATCTTCCTTTTTTTTTTTTTTCTTTTTGAGACGGAGTTTCGCTCTTGTTGCCCAAGCTGGAGTGCAATGGCACAATCTTGGTTCACTGCAACCTCCGCCTCCCGGGTTCAAGTGATTCTCCTGCCTCAGCCTCCCAAGTAGCTGGGATTACAGGTGCCCGCCATGACCAGCTAAAAATTTTTTGTGTTTTTAGTAGAAATGGAGTTTCACCATGTTGGCCAGGCTCATCTCGAACTGCAGACCTCAAGATCCACCCGCCTTGGCCTCGCAAAGTGCTGGGATTGCAGGTGTGAGCCCTGGAGGCCCCTGGAGTTGGCCGCAAACCCACCCCTATGCACAGTCTCTTGGATGCGAGAAGTAGGAGACAGGCAATGTTTATTGTGTAGCAGCTGGGACTTTTGCCAGAGTGCATGGGGAAAATGCTCACCCTGCTTCCGCTAGTGGGAGGCTGAGCTGGACAGAGGGAAGCCTGGAGCTTGGAGCCTCTTTCCTT